GGGAGCTGCTGAGAAGGGCAGCGCGGGTCAGGGCACTGTTGAGGGAATCAGCGGTGTGTCTGAGTTCTGTGCCAAGACGTAGGGTGACTCGAGCCCGATGAGCCCCAGGTCGTGTAGATTAAGAATGGAGTCAGCAATGATGCGGGCTGTGCGCTTCTGGTACCCGCCCGAGGTCACCATGAGGATGGGCACCTGGCGGGCACGAACCACCCGGAACACCAGTTCATCCCGCTTCACGATGCCCTGTGGGGGATGGGGAGGGCTGGCTCAGGCAGGCCTGGGCCTCGCGTGTCAGGAAGTCCTGCTGCAGGTCTGGCCCTGCTCCAGACTGCTGTTGCTCCAGCCCATCTCCTCCCTGACATCAGGCTGCCCACCTTTCCTGCTGCTGCAGAGTCCCCAGAACAGAACCTCCCCCACCCCCCAGGGTCAGGACCTACCCCTGGGCTGATGGACAGCCCCCCAAGGGGGTCCCCCTCGAGGATGTCTGTGCCTGCGTTGTACACCACTACATCGGGCGGATGATCCTGCAGGGCTTTCTCGATGTTCCTCTCCACTTTATTCAGGTATTCGTCATCCTCCACGCCCCACTCCAGCTCCACCTTCCGCCTGATGGCCTCTGCGAGGGAGACAGGGATAGCCCCATTTTGCAAAGAAGGGAAACTGAGGCTCAGGATGAGAAAGACTATGGGGCTCCTCTCAGTGCCCAAGTCAGGACTGGAAACTTGTCTGACTCCAGCACTGCTCGGCCTCTCATTCCACCCAAAACTAAACTGAAAAGAGCACCAAGGGCTGCAAAAACAGGAACTCCAAAGGAGAGAAGGGGGATTGGAAGTGAGACACTTTTGCCCTGGGACACAGCTGTTGCAATGTCTGACTTTACTGCCTTTTTGAGCCCTTACCCAGACACGTGGACACCCTGCCCCACCTTCAAGCCCAGATTCAGTACGTTTGAGGCTCAGCTCAGAAATTGGTCCGTTGGCCATCCCAGTGGCTGACTTATCCACACCCTACTCACTAACGCCTTATGCCCAGATGTCCCCTACCTTCCGAGGGAGCAGGTTCATGTTTTCAAATTTCACCTGAGTCTCTCTGCCTTTTGATTGATGAGTTTAACCCTATTTCACTTATTTCAACTTTTTTATTAGAACTTATTTCTTCCATCTTATTTTGTTTGTTCCATGCTATTTTTGTTTGTTTTGTTTCATCCTTTTCTGTTTTCTACCAGACAGATGCATACCCAGGAGAAGAAGATTCTACTTTTATTCTCCTGGTGGTTACTCCTAACAGAAGGACCCATGTGCATGTTTATTGGACAGGTTTGTGTGGTCTTGATTGGGTCAAGTGACTTCTTCAAGTCTTACTTTCCTCATCTGTAAAATGGGAACAATCCCCACCTCACAGGGATACTGAGGATAAATGAAGTGACTTCTGCAGGGCCCAGCATGCAGGAAATACTCAGGGGAGAGAGCCCATCCAAGCAAGGGACACTCAAGGGCTGAGGGGGAGAGGTGCAGCTTACGCTTGGCAAAGCGGTCCCCAGGGTAGATGTGGCGGTTGTAGACGTCCATTATATACACACGCTTGTCACCCATGAAGTCTCGCTCATGCCCATTGCCCTGTGGGGAGGACATGAAAGTTGCTCAGAGGCAGGTGCCCCTGGTAAGCCCAGGACTCTCCCCACCCCACATGCCTGGGCAGCACAGCTTGCCTTGGGAGCAGAGGGTCTTGTGGCAGAGCTAGGACTCAAAACCTGGCCCCATGACGTCTAGCATGGCCTTGAGCAGGCCCCAGCCCTCTCAGTTTCCTCCTCTGAGGCAGGAACCCTGGCCCCAACACCCTCTCAAGTCTGCAGTGGGATCGGTTGGGATCAGGGATGTGAAAAGCAAACTGCAAAGGGCTGTGAACATGGGACTTGGCTCAGGAGCTCAGCGCCATTTGAGCTCAGAGCAGGGCCCTGACCAGCACAAAGCCACAACAGCAGTGGTGTCAGAGGGGCCTCCACGAGCCCATTTGATCACCCCTGCCATCTCTGACCCTAGGACCCAGGCTTCTGTTCGGAGTCCTGAGAAGGAGCACTAGGCAACACGTCCTTCAGCAGTGACCTCAGGGGCTCAAGCCACCCTGAAATTGTGTGTGTGAGCATTTGCCTGAAGCGGGTCCACAGTGCCATCAGCTCTGTGCAGGAGGTGGAAGCCCCAAACCACTAGCCAGCAATGGGGAGTCACAGCAGGGCCTAGAGCATGACAGTAGCATTGTCAGACTGGGTTTTAGGAAGAACCATTTGTGGGGTGGGGGAACGGTCAGGTGGGAGGGAGGACCAGGTTTGAAAGCAGGAGCAATGGGTAGGGCCCGTCACCCTGGCTGGCTGAGTGGTGCAAAGGAAGAAAACCCTCTGTTTTCCAGTCTGAGGGACAGAGGATGGGAGCTGTGATGGCAGGAGATCAGCGTGGGGGTGGCAAAGGCCCAGTTTGGGAACATTCCTAGAGGGAGGGGAGCCCCACCCCACATTGTGGGGTTGTGACAGAGGCTATGGGGACACAGGGAGGTGCTGGGGCCTGTGGTGGTGGTCCTGTGAGAGCCCACCCCTGCAGGGCACTCACCTGATGGGCATCGAGATCAATGATGGTGGCCCTGGAGATGCCCTCCATTCGCTCAAACAGAAACTGCCCAGGGGAGAGAGGCAAGACGTGAGAACCCAGGCAGGCCAGAGGACCCACTGGGACTCCCAGTTGGTGAGGGGGTGGGAAGCATACATCCTTGTGGACAATCAGGCCACCAGGTAAACACGTCACTTGCCCAGGAGTCTGTGGGGCTCCAGAGATATGTGTGCATGCAGGAGGTGTTCAGGGAAGGCTCCTTGAAGAGGAACCCTGTGCTGTCCCCTGGAGGGCTAGAGGTCAGGAGGCAAGCGGGGCACTCAGGCCCTGGATTTCTCTGGATTCCCTGGGAAATGTGTGGGGGTTAAGGAGGAAACCCCCATAGCTCTGGAATTTCATTTCCCTATTTTTGCCTCCTCCTCCAAGGCCAAATCCTAATGCCCCCTCCTCTGGGAAGCCTTCCTTCCCTCCCCCACCCCTCCAGGAAGGTCTTCTGTGCTTCCCCCTCCTAATGGCCAGGTCTGCTGACCCACCTACCTCCCCCATTAGTCTATGTGCCCTGTAAGAACAGGGACTACTTTGGCCAGTTCCTGGCACC